CCACCATCGGCTCAACGCGCCCCTGGGGTCCATCCCGGCTGAGCGTGTGCCCCTGGGGTCCACCATCGGCTCAACGCGCCCCTGGGGTCCATCCCGGCTGAGCGTGCGCCCCTGGGGTCCACCATCGGCTCAACGCGCCCCTGGGGTCCATCCCGGCTGAGCGTGTGCCCCTGGGGTCCACCATCGGCTCAACGCGCCCCTGGGGTCCATCCCGGCTGAGCGTGTGCCCCTGGGGTCCACCATCGGCTCAACGCGCCCCTGGGGTCCATCCCGGCTGAGCGTGCGCCCCTGGGTCCCGTCTCTGGCTGAGCGCGCCCCTGGTCCAGCCCCTCGTGAGTTCTCTTTCATTCCTCCTGCCGCAGACTCGCCCACGGCGCGCATCCACGCCTCTCAAGCTGTGGTCAGGGAGGGAGACACTCTGGTGCTGACGTGCGCTGTCACGGGGAACCCCAGGTGGGACCTGACTCCTGGCTGCCAGGACCGAAACACGCATGGGTCCTGTAGAGAGAGGCCGTGAAGCCCGACTCCTGAGGAAAGGGGGTGGCGGCGATAGAATTCTTCCCTCCAGCCTGCTGGCTTTCTCTAAGCTGGCCGCGAGGCAGCCTCGTGCGTGTGCGTGTGTGTGTGTGTGTGTGCCCGCGCTCGCGCGCAGAAGTGGCTCGGTGGCTCATCCCCACTCACTTCCCAGCAGCCGGACAGCCCTCGCAGCTGTAACTCCAGTCCCAGGGATGTGACGCCCTCTCTGGCCTCTGCGCCGACCTAGGCACAGACAAACCCCTCAGCCACGTGCCATACATGGCTTTAGAAAGACTGATTTACCCGTGTGTACCGCGCGCTGACGCATGAACGCCAGCCCGCCCGCAGAGGGCGCCTGCTCTCACCCCGGAGGGTGCTGGGAACTGAGCCCAGGGCCGCGAGAAGAGCAGCCGGTGCCCTGACGCCGTCGCTCCAGCGGGGCGGGAGGGGTCCCGAACGCGCGGAAGGGAGGCCCGCCCCGCCGTGCTGGCCGCCCTCTGACTCACAGCCAGGCTGTGGCGGTCGCCCTTCCCCGCGGAGGCGTCTCGCCGCCGCTGTGCGGGCGGGAGCTGAGCCAGCGGGCACGGCCCGCCGCGGGCACATCCTCCTGAGACTCGGGTTTCCACCCACCGCCAGGCCCAGCCAGATCCGCTGGAACCGTGGGAATGAGTCCCTGCCGGAGAGGGCGGAGGCGGCGGGCGAGACGCTCACGCTGCCCGGCCTGGTGTCTGCAGACAACGGCACCTACACCTGCGAGGCGGCCAACAAGCACGGCCACGCGAGGGCGCTCTACGTGCTCGTGGTCTACGGTGAGGGCGGGGCGGGCCTGGGGGCGTGGTGAGGCAGGCCTGGGGGCGGGGCGGGG